GTCCTACTAGCTGCTCCCAGCAAGTTCAGTGTTATCAAAGTACAAAAATATTTAAAAATAAAAAATAAAAATAATATATATATATATTAATTAGTGTTTAAGATGATTATTATTGCTAAATTGTTAATTAATCAGTGTGAATGTGTGTCTCTCACTTTTGGTGTGTGAGTGTCAGAGTTTCAGAGAGTGTGAGTGACTCTGTTTTGTTTTGCAGAAAAGAATATGCAAAAACGAAAAGGAAACGGCCTTTTTCTTCTGCAAAGTCATGATTTTTTCCTCTCTCTCTGTTTTTTTCTTCTTCAAGAGAGTGGATTAGTGGTCAATTCAATGTCCGTTTTGCTTTGTTTCTTCAGTGGGGTCGAGAAAGTCAAGCAAACTAATGGAGATCAGCTCATGTATACAACATTTCTTTCTTATTAATCACTCCTCACTAATCTTGAATAAGATTCTCTTCCCTCTTTTTTTCTCTATTTTCCTTCCCTCTTATTTGAACGGTTACGATTAAACTACGTTAACATCTTATATTAATATTTTATAACAAAAAAAAGACAAAATAAGATAATATGAAAGGAGAAGATGGAAATGAATGGAAAGAGGACGAGAGAAAATCTTAGTCCCACTAATCTCTCTCAATTTGAGAATAAGTGACTAGGTCTGCTCTCACATGAGATGGAATGTCTGGAAAATTAAATAGAATAAACTTCAAGAATATTTATGCTTTTGTGAATGGTGCGCATATAATAACGTGGCCGGGCACTACTATCTAATTGTTTTTTTTTCAAATTCAAGATTGGGTTTATTTAGGAGTGGTTCGAAAAATTGAAAGTCGAAAAAAATTGGACCGAATACCGAAGGAACCAAACTGAAAAAACTGAACCAAATTTAAAAAACTGAATCAAACCAAAATTGATTGGTTCAATTTCAATTTTAGTGATTTAAAAACCGAACCAAATTAAACTTAGCTGAATTGAACCGAACTAACCATTACCCTTAACAGACGTCATTTTTCTAGGTATTTAACCCAAGATGATGCAGTTCGTTCTCATCTTATCAGATATCTGTTTGGACTTCGGCCACCTTTTATTCAGTTTGAGTTTTTTCCTTTTAATATAATGTGAACTATTATATGTCAAATGATGAGTTGAAATTAATTTATTTTTCTTACTTTGGTGCTGAAAGTTTTATGAAACTACATTAAATCTTGGAAAGAACAAAAAAAACCAGTAAATTAAATTTCAGAAGCCGAGTTGAAGATTATGAACATGTTGATTAGTTTTATCACTTGACTTGAAATCTCTTCAACAAACAAATGAGCGAGCAGGTTAGTGAGCAAATGAAGTTTTAACAAATTTGAATTTCATGTCTATAAAAAAAACCAAACCGAACCCAAATCAAACCGTAAAAAACCAAGGCAATGTTAAACTGAAGAAAATCGAACAGAAACCAAATCAAACAATAGTTTAGGTTTGGTTTCAATTTTTTGACAAAAAAACCAAATCAATTGAAACCAAACCCACCCCTTTACGTTCTGTTTAGTCCCCATCAGTTTATACTCTTCACATGATCACCTTGTTTCACAAGTTGACAAGGGACCCAGGAGGGAAAGAAAATAGGGCTTCAATTATTCTGTTACAAAATGTTGGCAAACAATTGAATTGATGTCAGTTGGTGGTGACAAATATTGGCCTTAAACAAACTTTATTGACAATCGATATGATGTGTGACAGCATTTGGCCTAATTGGTCTTTCTTTGTGCCTAAAAGATATGACTTTTGAAGGTAGAGATGATCCTGATTTTATCAAGATTAAGGATAAGTGAAATGAACTAGAGGAGTGAAGAAGAAGAGACTGTGTACTCTGATTTTGTTTTTTTTTTTCGGGAAACTGAAAATATATTACCAGGGCTACAAGCCAAAGAGTTACAAGAAAGCCTACCACGAGACCAACAAACAAACAGCACTATCAAACAGCGAAGGGGATAAGAGAAGACACAAGAACCAAATTCTAGCGTCACCCCTTCAACGTTTACCAAAATCAGTGGGAACCATGGGGACAGGGTAAACCATCTTTGTTAAGTACATGAACCTACGAGGATGGAAGGCAAAATGGTCCTCTCGTTTTTGCCACATGGATGGAAAACTTAAACAAAATGACAGCATAGATTAAAGTGTGACACATTTACATGTTTAAGAAGACAAGTTGAATCACAATAAGTTTCAGGAGGTAAAGTCGGACTCCCAAACACTATAGGGGGCACACCAGTAATTAAGCATTGGAATTTTGACTTGTGCTCCAACAATATTAGTCGATTTCTACACAACCAAGAACGATCACGCAAGAAAGTCTGCCATATTACTGGTGTAAAATAAAGTGTTTATGAGAGGTAGAGATTCTGCACATAGATTGCATAAAGTGACTTATTATATAACCGTTAAGGGTGATTAATTTGTTAACACAAATACTAATACAGATACATAAACCATGTGATTAATTTGTTTTTTAACATAACATTGTTGGTACATGCGAGAAAACCTGTTACATAATCAATTGTTTATGATAATGTGTTTATTAAGAGTAGATAGTTTGATGAGATACGGATACGTTTACGTTACGAGACAAGGAAGAAAAACAAGTGTATCATCTCCTTTGGTTTTTGGAATGACGACAATTCTAATTTATAGAAAGAGAATCATTTCTAACTTTCTACCCCTGTCTTCACATTTTAGCAAATACAAAGTCCAATCTTAGGTAAAATCAACTTTTCATTGTTACATTTAACAGTCTTTTAACTTACTTGTATTAGAGAATTAACAGTTCGAATTTACCCCTTTCTTTTTGGGGAAAAACCAGATCTACCTTTTCACCAATTGCAGGTTTCTCCCAACAAGAAAATGAAATGAGCATGCTTGATCAGACAAGAGTGTGACAAGTGTTGCTATAAGTAGCAGCAGTGTAACATGCATCCATATGGGTGTCTAGAGACCCCCTTCCTTTTCCCATTAAAAATAAAGAAAAGAGCATATCAATGAAGAAAAGTGGTGGTTTTTTTAGAGCCTAGACATGCCTCAATCATGATACTTCACCTCTTACATCACACCACAAGGATTTTTACGAAACGGGTACATTGTCATTATATCGTTCGATGTCAATGATGCACTGTATTTGTATGTTTCTGTCCACGTAATTTTATCTCATTGACACAAGACAACACAATTACAGTCTACTCGTCGTGCATACATATTGCTCTCTATATCACCAAACCACATGACAAATTGACAATCATGCATTAGACAGATAAATTACACTTTTTAAATACGTAACAAACATTTGTTACACCATAAAAATTAGTTGCGTGAGATAATCGCTTCCATATCACACATTATAATTATACTTAACATCTCTCTTTATTGACCAACTTTTACAGCTGAAATTGCGCCTGCGTGCTTTCTGGCCAATGGCCATGGCAACAAGTGGGGTAGTATTCCTCTCATATAACTCATGAGGAAACAGAGAGAGATGAGGCGGGCACATTGGGGCCTCCATGCTGTCAAATATCACAGAAAAAGCTCACATGGCCAAGCCATCAATTTTTGCTGTGATCCAGCCCATCTCTTTCAAAATATAACATAACCAAGCAAAAAGAATATATTAATTAAATTACAAAATTTAAAGATCGTGTTTGCAATGATCAATTACATTATCTAATGTATGCAAACACATGCGCTCACGCTTGCATAAGCTCGATCGAAGAATGTGGTTTGGGATGAGAAATGTTTCATGCGTACAGCGTCAAGGCACTAATACAGTCATGAAATTTGCATAAAAATGGGATATATATGATTCTTATGAATGTCAAGCGCAATGCGTCGGGATGCATATAAGATTAAATTTTAGTTATTGACATGTCTACCCATTTGACAACTAATCTAAGGTTACAGGATTGTGATCCAATTTTGAGTATACAGTTCAAGAAATTAAGTGGGGGAATTCAGCGAAGTCACACAATTCTAATTTGGTATCGAACTCGTCACTCAAAATGTTCAAACTTAAAGACTCTTATTTCAAAGTAAAAATGAATATCACTAGACCAAAGTAAGTGGCTTGTACACTATTCCCTTAAAAAGGTTTCAAAATGTGGATATTAATACTACTCTAATTTAAGATGACGGGGGACTGCAATCGGAGTTTTGAGTTAGGACTTGGCATGGTTTGAATTGGTTCGGTTTGAGCCCAAGCCACTCACCATCTCCGGTTCGGTGCCATTAGACCGGCTGAGATCCGCAGGCGGCGTGCCGAGACAAAAATAATAAAGAGATGCAGAAGTCCAAGATTTATTTTTGTGTCACCAAACTCCAGTTGAGATTTGATGGATATTGTCGTATGGTGTATGGTGAAGGACAGGAAGCACGTTATCCCTCCACAGATGACGCATGTGAGGGTGAGGTCTCAATTTTGTAGGGGAGGGGACCTTCCAACTCAGATGTGGTGCTCCACGCTCAAAAGGAAAAACTGCAGAGCAATGGTGTGGGGGCATATATGGAGGCAAACTGTCTGTCTTCCTGTTTAGGTGCCCTTCTCATTCATTTATTTTGTACGGTCACGATTAAACTACTTCAACATTTTATATTTTTTTTTTATAAAAATAATAAGACAAAAAACAATAAGAATATAAAATGTTGATGTGGCTTGACCATGACCGCACAAATATGATGGAATAGGAAGAGCACCCAAACACGAGGGTAGACAATATATACTGCTCTCTTTCCCTGTCGTCCACATCTAATGCAACGTCGAACTCTCGGGATACTATTGTGGTAGTATTTGAAATCAATAACGCACCGTGGAACATATTAAAAATAGGGTAATGTGTATTGGTTTGGGATACTGCCAACAGTAGTAACATTCCCGGGTGCAGGTAAGTCCTCTTTAGCCTTATTCATCGAAGATCTATTGTGCATGCTGGAGTTATATAATGATCTGAAGTAGAACAAAAGCGGGGCTGCAAAAAGCGAAAACTAAACCAAATTCCATTTCCATTAGAATACAAATCACGTCATGTGTTTCCAGCACAGAACCCGTACGCACACGATACATAACCATTCAAACCCAGGGCCCTATTAAACAAATCATGTCAAATCACCTTGTAGCAGCGACAATCCTTCCGTTTCTATGCACCGTTCATAGTAGCATCGGTGTGTACTGTGTTTACATCATCAAGAGTCTTGCCGTTCACTTGAGTTCTTTGCCTCTGGATTTATGTAACAGCAAAAAAAATTGTAAGATGATTGCCCAGATCACAAAATGGTGCTGATATCAATAGAATTTACTCAAAACGAAGATTCACTATACCCGATCAGCAGGGTCTCCAACGATTCCATTCAATAGCTTGTGGTTCTCTTCTTTGGTCTTTCCATCCTTGTCCTTTGTGCTTAGCGGTAACAAGAGAGATGCAGCTCCGCTGGTCCGGTCAGGTAATTCTGCATTAACAATTATGTTAGTATCACTTCTCATTGGTTCACAACCAAAAATATGGCGAAAACAGAAGAAAAAAAAAACAAAAAACAAATCCAGGCGTCCTAACCTGCCAATTTCTTGTCGATAAAGAATACGACCAAATTAACAGTATACCTGCAGGAGATCATATTTTCAACCAAATAAGGAAGTTAGAGACAATACTTAGTGTATATGCTTTTAAAACATATACAAAGATGAAAGCATGCAAAAATCTTCATACCATGCAACAACAACATCAACTGTGTAATGTTTGCGGGATGCCACAATCAATAAACTCTGGATCACAACGAGTAACCAGGCTAACTGCTTTATAAACCTGCATCGATCAACGAATCAAAAGACACACATTTATCTCAGCAGTAAGTCAAATAACAATCACTTAAAATTGATGTCATCCATGAACCAAAGCTATTCTTACCTTTGTGTACCGTATTTCTGATAAGTGCGCACAAAGACTAGACTAAATATCATGTGTGATGAGAAAATCAAATCACCACAACCATAAAGTACACCATGCGGAACTGCATATTTAGAGAGAACAAATCAGCAGAGAGTCGTATTACAAGACGCAATATGCCAAATGACCTGAGTTCAAGAAGATATATTACTGATCAAGAAGACTTCTAATACACTTTCCGGAGGAGGCAGCCTGGCAAGTTTAGAACCCTGCACAATTATAATAGAGCATCTTAGCTTATTACAACATACGGAGAATTTTGTACCCCACCAATAGGGAAATAAATTCAAACATGAATAAAACGTAATCTCTACTCTCTACTACACCCTAGGGTATACAACAAAACCAACAGGATAGTAAACAACCAACCTACCTCTCGACAATGGTAATTTGGACCGGGAAGCTGGGTGGAATAGAAAGTGATAATCCGGAGAAATTGAGAAGCCTGAAATAAACAGTGGAAACTCTCAGACAAAAAAAGTAGGGAATATATTTGTCACCAGCCCCGTGCCTACCACTGTTACATGATTAAAATTATAAACCATGGGATCACAGCACAACTTAAATGACAGCCTTGTTTTCTCTTTTGAAAAACAATTTTTTCTTACCCAATTTATCTCTCTAGCTGCACTTAAAAAGGAAAGGAACTCATGAAATGATGCAAAAGCAGCGGAACAAAAATGCGTATATCTAATGGTTCAAAATATCAAATGAACTATAATAACTAAATTAACTGTCATAAGTTTCTTATGAGTTTGTCAGACAAGGTACAAGTTAATGTAAGAAAAATAAAAAGTTAACAAATCAAACCAAAATGAATGAATATCTCAATTTATCACAGAACTAACTTCTCAAACCCTGTTACTAGAGGTCAATTTCAATTTCAACCTTCAATAGTTTATACCAGCATGAGCCCAGATCTCAATTCAATTAAAGTAACAAATAAAACAACAAATAATATTTAAAATATGAAACGGTGTAGACAAAAAGGAAATTATCACCACTTACCGATAAGAACGCTAAAACTCTACACCAAAGGAGAACTGTGTAAAACTTTTTGCCCTTGAAAATGAAAGGATGGAAGCTCCACTGCAACAGAACATGCACCACATGAGGAAAATATAAAATTTAAACATTTCTGTAAAGCACACATGCCTGACTGGATAGAGAATAAATCATAATAATTGTGCGCAAATAAGATGAAGCCATAAATTAATGAATCAAAGAAAAAGACACACTAGAGAGTTCATAAGGGGAAAAAAAACAGTAGATAACATGTTAAATTTAAGTGCTCTGTGCTCTATTAAAAAAAACAGTATTGAAAAGCGCCTAAACTTTTCAAAGTCATAAAGGAAAGAAGAATATTAAATAAATTAACTATCAAAAGAGGGAAAACGTCTCATGGTGTTTTCTGTTAATGAAATTGGGAAAAATTAATCAGGAAAATACTATTAAATTCTGAAGCACGTAAGTTTTAGTGCCGTAGAACAGCTTCTGATTAAGCCCCCACTGATAATATTTCTTGACATTATATACAGGCCTTCTGAACACAAATACACATCAAAGCTAATCGATAAATAAATAGTCAGTTGAAAAAATAAACACTTTTTACATCAACCTTTAAACAATAAATCATAACATCTCAATGTGTGAATTAGAATATTAGAGTTGTTTCCTTCCATGCATCCTAATATCAGAAACAAGTACTTTATTTCACACACCATTTTCTCCAATGTATCCACAACCATAACCCCCAAGAAATTAAGTTGAACAGAACACCGACACATATAACTAAGTGATGCAGATGAAAGCAATATGACAAAGACAACTCAGAAGAACCTTACCAATACAAAAGATAAGAAGATGAAGGTGAAAAGGGTCTCACTGATATAGGCTCTGTCCTGCCCAAGTTCCTACAAAAACACCAAAACTCAATTATTCCAAATACCCAAAATTAAATATAGGAAACCACTTCGTATGATCAAATTCACACTATACAGTTTCAAAAAGAAAAAAGGATAGGTACGAACCGGAAGAAGAAAGAAACCAGCATCCTGGAGTGTTGGCCCTGCCCGATGTATATAATGAACTCCTCGAGCAGCTAGACCATGTATGTACTGCAAATCAGATGAATTTCAAATATCAAACTCAGTAACAAATTAACATAAGAAAGAAGAAAACAAATCGCAAAGATCAGAACAAGACTACGTTGCTCAATACATCTTCTCACAAATAACTTTTTCTCATCCAATGGACTGAAACTGATAAAACCATTCAAACATTAGGAGGATGAAATGTGCTAGAAAATAATGTTCAACACTAATCACATTTGTAAACTGATAGTAACTTCCTCCAATTCTCAAAAGCATACACCTTCTCTCAAAGTTACACAATGTAATCAACCATGATCGAAACTCTCAACCAAAACCAACTTCCCACTTTCTCTGTTTTCTCCATCAAAACGAAAATCCCAATCCTGTTATGCTCTTTTCCAATCAGGAAAAAGAAAGTCGACCCATTGTTCATCATCCTAAACTAAATTCACCAGAACCCTCCAATTCGAAAAGCCGAAAAAGTAAACGAATCGAAGAACAAAAAAGCACCTGAAAAACTAGACCGGCGAGAAGATACTTCCAATTCGCGGCGAGGAGATTGATCTCGGTGACTACCTCGGCGCAGATTCTCTTCCAGAGCTTCACAAATCAGAACCCCAAATACAAAAACAGAGAGAAAACAAAGGACCACCATCAGTAAAGAACAAAAAAGCAAAAAATTCAATTTTTTTTAATTTTAAAAAGGGGAAAAACAAAAGGGTATTAATGCAAAGTGAACAAAAAGAGCAAACCTTTGACGACTCGCGGCCAATGTAAAGCGTCATCTTCTTCCACTCGTTGTTGTTGTTGTTATTGGCGTAACCACAACTTCCATATTACTTCACAGGTTCAGCACCTCCATGACTGATAGCCGGGCACCTCAAGAATCGAATCGAATGCGAGGAGGAAGACGAAGGGCAGCAAAACGCGGTCGTTTTAAAGGTGGGTTCTGAGGGGGATCACAGATTGTGACCTGGAGATCTGGAGAGAGGGCAATCAAAGCTTACAAATTTTGATGAATCGGGAAACGGAAGAAGAAGAAGAAGAAAAGGAAAAAGGGAAAGGCTTTTAGAATTTTTTATTTTTCTGCTTTGCTTTCTCTCTCCCCTCTCTCTCTCTCCTCTCTCTCTATCTCTCTCTCTTCGTCTTTGTGTTTGGCTTCGTCTGTCAAGTAGTGCTGGGCCTGCACGCGAGTTGAACACGGGGGCGACAGTTGAGACAGAGAGAAAAAGAGAAAAAACGCCACCAAATTCAATTCAAATTCCACATCCCCAAATCCCAATTCCAAAACTCTGTCTCTCTCTCCTCTGTCTCTCTCTCTAGAAACCCAAAACACAGAGATTAGAGAAAAAGAGAGTGCAAAGGAGAAAGCAAAGAAAAAAGGTCTCCTTTTTATTTTACTTTCTCTCTCCTCTTCCTATCTATCTCTCTCTTGTTCTTCAACCGTAATTTTATTTATAATTTTAAATAAATTCTGAGAAAACGAGGTAAAAGCAAATATTCTCGTTCTCGAAACTGTAACTGAAAATTGCGGTTTAAAAAGGGATAAGAAATAAAAGAGGGCGGCAATTTTGTATTACAGTTTTTTTTTTTTACCACGCGCGGCCGCGGAGGAAGGCGGCGGTAAATAAATCGTCCGGCCACGGCCTGCCCTAATTTTATTTATTTTTTATTTTCCTCCTTGTAAATTCAGATTTAAGATATTACTAATTTTTGTTTAGTTTCTTAATCAAATGATGGTTTATGGGATCAAGGTTGGAGGCTGTGGTGAATTACGATTATGTCCTTGGTTTTAGTGGGAAATGACTAGCACTTGTCCCCCGCGTTTGGGCTTGGTCGACGAGGATAACAGACTCCCTCGTCCGCTCCTTAAAATTGAAAGTTTCGTTATTATTTAATTCCATTTCATTAAAAAAAATGATAAATTACACAGCTCCTCATGTTTTGAGGTTTATTACAACCTCATACAACAACTTTAAAACATTTCACTTTCATACCTCAAGTTATAATACATCCGTTAGATTTTCCATTCATTAATCCGTTAAATGCTGACGTGGCTGCCACATTTGTGCCACGTGACTACCAAATATCTGTCACGTGGCAAAAAAATATTTTTTTTTAAAACCTGAATTTCTCAACCAAAAAAAAAAAAAAATTGAAACCCACATCTGCAACCAGCGATCAGAAGGAGGAAAAGAAAAAAAATAAAATTTGTCCCTCCCCCAGCAACCAGAAGAAGAAGAAGAAGAAGAAGAAGAACCCCCCTCACGTCCCCCCCTGGCGCCCAGCGACCCTCCCCCCACCCCGACCTAGCTCCCTTCCTCCCTCTTCTTCTTCTTCTTCTTCTTCTTCTTGCAGATCTGGGTTTGTTTGTTTGTTTTTTTTTTTATTTGACCCTCCTCCCGTCCCCCCCCGGGCCCAGCGACCCTCCCCTCACCCCAACCCAGCTCCATTCCTCCCTCTTATTCTTCTTCTTCTTCTTCTTGCAAATCTGGGTTTCTTTTTTTTTTTTTTTTCTTCCTCTGACGACCCTCCTCCTGTCCCCCCCCCCCCGTGCCCAGCGACCCTCCCCTACCCCGATCTCTTCTTCCTCTTCTTCTTCTTCTTGCAGTGGGTTTCTATTTTTTTTTCTTTTTCTTTCTTCCTCCCTCCTCTTCTTCTTCTTGCAGATGTGGGTTTCAAATTTGTTTTTTTTTTTTTGAGAAAATTCAGGTTTTTTAAAAAAAATTAAAAATTATTTTATTTGCCACGTGGTAGACATTTGGCAGCCATGTGGCATATATGTGGCAGCCACGTCAGCATTTAACAGATCAATGGATGGAAAATGTAACGAATGTATTATTTTGAAATAAAATAGTACTTAAGGTATGAAAGTGAAATGTTTTAAAGATGTTGTAAGGAATTGAAATAGACCCCAAACCTGAGGTATGAAAATGTAATTTACCCTAAAAAAAATTTAAAGTGATTTTTAAAATGGAAATTTTTATTTAAATTCATATAACTTCTTTTTACATTCAACTTAAATTTTAAATGTTAATTGTCTTTTTTATCTTATTGCATAATTATTATTAAATATAAAATAAAATTAATAATAAAACTCAAATTTATCAATAAACTCACACATTATAATGAAACTCTGTCATCACTATGTGTTTATCTTATGTTTATTCCGACTAAAACTTTTGAATCCTCCATGACTCAATTTATGAATTATTCAGGACAAATAATTATTCCTTTCAATTAATTTACATCCAAACATGACATAACAGGCTAAAGAACTCTAAAAGAGGCTCATCTTTTAGCACATTAGAAGGTGAAACATCAACCAAGGCATCTTAGGCAAAGCATGATAAGCTGAAAGTGATTTTTGCAGGTGTGAATAACTATAAGAATATGGGAGAAATCAAATAAAGATGAACACACAAAAATTTATAAAGTTAGTAGAGATATTTATGAACAAGACTGAGAAAGAGAAGAAAATTAAGTTGTGGGACTTGAGGAAAATAAAATGCTTTGATTTTGGGTTTTTTATTTTTCAAATGGGTGTAAATGTGACGACCCGTCCCTAATTTCCCTATGTAATTTCTCCCTGAGGATGTGTATTGACTGTTATGCCCTTATTGGCGAGTGACGCAGACGTATTCTTATCGCTTTCATTTTATTTCTCGCTATCGCATTTAAATTGTACACGTTGTTACAAGTGTACTTAAATTTTATCAGTGTGAAAACATTGTTCTGGATAGATTTTTGATACTCTTTTCTGTACAAAATCCAAAATCCTATCCCTATCTACCCTTTTAGCCATCCCGTGCACCCTCCTCCATTATTTCACTCTCTCACCAATCCAATCTCTCCCTCATTTTCTGTCCACCAATTAGAAATTAGAAAAAAGGATTCTCTCTCTCTCTCTCTTCTTTCTCTCTCTCTTCCTTCTCTCTATCCCGTATTCTCTTCTTCTCTGCAAAACGCTCAGCAAGCTTCAAAGCTCATAGATCGAACTCAAAAACCACACCATTGTGCTCCTCTTATCCTCACGATCTCAACCATGTTCTTGAAACCTAGTTTAGACGAGTTTTGACTCGTTAACTCGTGAGGTCCGAACTCGGGCACACTGAGTTAGACGTGTTTTCGAACGAATTAGGATGTTTTGAAGTTTGGGAAGGCTTCTACACAACATTTTGAGGGTCCTAGGCTTGTTTTGGAAGAAGGTCAACGTGAAACGACCGAGTTTTGAGGAGTTCACTTTTGGCCGGAACTTTCGAGGCTTTTTCCGGTGATCTCCGTCCACTTTTTGGACTCCAAACATGTATAACACGATTCTACTCTTCATTAGCTTCAAATCCATATAAAGTGCGCCGAAAATGGTTGAGAAATGAAGGAGAATAGTGAATTTGAAATTTTTTTCAGAAATCCGACGAAAAATTGAGTTACAGACGGCGGCGACGGCGAGGGCAATCGGAGAAGGTGACGGAATATTCCCGACGGCGTCAGGTAACGCCGTTAACTTCAGTTAGCTTTTAACAAAATATTCCTTACGAACGTCAGGCATTGGCTTGCGCATGGGGGTGCGTCTGGCCGTGCCCTTGACGACGCGTGAGCCATCCAAAATTTATTCTAAAAATTTGGGGATGTTCGTGACATCGAGTAGGTCATAATAGTATATTAAACCCTAGGTTTGAGCAAACTATGGGGTTTTATTTAAGTTTCGGTATATGTGCTTTAATTAATTATATTTTAGTTATTTCACATATAGGGAAAACATATCCCGAGAACGTTCGGGGCCAGGCTAGGCTCGAGGGCTAGTGAGTGGGCAGTTTATTTTTATATCTATACGTATTCATAGTTTCCAAAATTTCATAAATGCATCACTTTGCGTATATATATTGCCAAATAATTGATAACTGCTATATAATTGTGATAAATGTTGTTATATGGTTGAGATATTACTGTCATGGCATTCATACATACTTTTACATGCTCATCTTGCTGCACCCAGTGTTAGTACTCGACCTAGGGCCAGAGCCAGTCATTCACGTGCATGTTCATATCGCACCATTTGCTCGCCTTGGATCCAAGTTAGGTGTTAGTCATGTCGGGTAGATTGCATTAGGCAATCTGACTTGTATGTGATGTGCTTTGCACCAGTCTTCACGTGATCGTAGTACTAAAACATATTTATTACATCCAGTTCTGTTCGTGTCAGAATTCATCTGTTCGAACTCGTGTGTCAGCTTAGATGGATAAACACTTAGTTATGCTTGGTTATCACTTGATTATCTTATTGTGGCATTCAATACATTATGATTTGGCATACTTCTGGTTATAATATTGTTGTAGTATTGTGTTTTATTATTTACATACTTCGTATGTTTTAAGGAAACTATACTTGTTTTACGGCGAGGGGTTAGTATAATCGAAAATAAAGGATTTCTTACAAGCATTGTTTTGCTGACCCACTCAACTTTGTTTTTCGCCCCTCCAAGACCTAGATAGTTGTGATCTTTGTGGCACTCGATGAATCTCAGCAGTTCTGACATTCCCTTCTGTTTAGACGTACGAACTTATCATTGTTGTGTAATAAGTGTACTTAGTTACTTTGACTACTCTTCTGTAGTCTCACCGTCTATTACGTTCTGAATAATTGTAGTGGGTTCATCCCACAATTGCGCACTCTTTCACTGTTTAGTATAATTAGTTCTAATTAGTTTTAAATTTATTCACTTTTTGCATCACTTACCCTTATGGTTACGTCACCCCACGGTGATGACCAACATGCTTCGACCTTTTTAGGTTGAGGTGTGTCAGTAAAGATAAATTTACATATTGTATTGAGTTTGTGAGGGTATTTAAGGTAGTAAATTTAGGTTTAAAGAGATATTGATAGTTTAGTTAAAAACCAAATGGGTGTAAAGAGTAAGTTAGGTGTAGAAAGAGGTTACATGAGTTTAAATAAAATTTCCCTTTTAAAATTTTAGGGAAAAAATGGAAGTGGAAAAAAGGGCAAGTAAGCACATATAGAACGGTTACTTTTAAGGAAAATGTTTTAATTAAAACGAAGTCTAATAGTATTCTTCTATACTGATGAATGAAAAGTATTAGGTTTGAATTTCATAAGTTGTGAATTGAAAACCAACTTATTCACCAAATCTTAATGTAAATATATCGTTTGTATAAACCAATAAAAGAAGCATTATGAGCTCAAAATAAAACATAACCCAAAGCATTCTATCCAAAAAGTCAAATATGAAAGACATAAAACTAAAAGGGAAGTGTTATTAGCACTCCAAAAATCTCACTTTACACTCCTCACAAGTGTATTTTTCTTTCCAAATATAGAAAGTTTGGAGTGTAGAATGAGATTTTT